CTCTATCATTCTTCTTGCTTTCACCACTACTACCATCACTATTCTCATCGTCATTTTGGCAGCAAGTTTTTGGCAGTTCTTCTTGTCTGTCTCTCCGTCTTTTGTTGTGCGGGAGGTCCTCTGGCTCGAAGCTCTTGCTCTCTTCCACGCCATGATTCCCTTCTCGACTGCTGTCTTGGTCTCTGTCTTGTCCTCCTCTTGTTCCCTCTGTTCCTCCTCCTTCATCGTTGCCACTCGAATTTCCCTCATCGCCATCATGATGATCGTTTTCGTTTGTACTACTATCGAAATCCCAACCTATTGGCCGGGGTGGAAATTGATCCATGAGCAGTCCATGACGTTTAAAAACATCACGAGTTCGTACGGACAGGAAACGAGCCAGCTCGATCGTAAATCGTCTTCGAATCCTATTCGTATGAAAGGCCTTCAGGCGAATCACGGCTGTTTCGTCGGCGAAATTCCCTTTGCAAAAGGCTTCGTATGCCAAGTGGTTGGCGATAGCTACGATAAGTCGATTGGTGCCTTTGCCAAGACCACCATTCGTTGAAAAAGCAGCAGTAAGGAGGGTAGATCTAGACGGGTTGAAAGTTCCCGCATAGTGATTTGCCTTACTTGCAGCTCGATCTTCGAGGGCTGATCCTGGCTTAAGGATCGACTTGTCGATGCTTCGACCTGCGGATGGGTTGACGATTGTTACGTCGATCAGAATGGACTTGGTGCAGAGGTCCTCTTCCTTCTCTCCTGCGTGTAATCCTGGGGGGATCACCAAATCCATCTTGTATAGCCCCTTTCCCCTACCAGTGCCTGTGGTAAAAGGGGAAGAATCCTCAACGGCGATGGGCATATGGCACTCGCGCAGTGTCTTGAGGACCACTCGAACCATCCTGTTATGGAGGAAGGTTGAGGCGCCGGTCTTGGTGCAGACGAGGGAGTGGGCTCGGCTCAAGCGGTCCTTGCATGGTAACAATGCACCTGCACCACAAAGTTTGCCTGTGTTGCAGTCTGCTCGATCGTGACTCCCCAGTACACGACCGATTGACTCTCGATATAGATCAGGCAGCATTCTTTCATCTGCTGACAACCCTTGCGTTGTCAACCACGACAAAACTCCCTTGCCTTTCGCTTCCTCCAAGCGGATCAACGCCCTCTTCTTTGGCGTTTCCTCGCCTACTACTTTCTGCAAGTCTGTCTCCACCATGTGGCGCACTGCTGCATGAAGAGGTTTCGAAAGGAGAGCTTGGGCTCCAAAGACTTGGTAGTGTTGACCAAATTCATTTCGGCTGAAGGTAGACGGTGGTTGATGTTCTACGTCAGGGTTTCCATCTTCACGGGGTTTTCCCGCCTTCCCTGCTTCCAACAAGTAAACTCCTTTGAGGGCGGGGGTTAACTCATCACTTGTGGCAAGTTTAGCCCATGACTGCCCAACAGCTTTTTCAAGCTTGTCTTTGGTGATGATTTCCTCTAGCTTCTTCAGCGAGTCAATCAGAGCCAATCCTGTCGGTAGCTGGGCAAGCCGGGGTAGACATTGCTCAACTGTGTATCCTGTCGATGCTTGCACTGACTTGGAGAACACTAACGCTTGCCCTGCCACAAAAGCCGATTCTCGAATGAGAACATTGCTCGTGATTCCTAGTCCTCCTTCTCGCATGGGTAGGTGCACCTGCGCCCGAGCTGTCCCTTTGAAGAAATCTACCTCCTCGCTCTTCGTCGGGTCTGCGCGTACCTCTTTGACCGTTGGTATTCTCATGCTGTCGGCCATCTTGCCAAGGACGATCTTACTCATTGCCCACATCATCATGTTGTCATGTATTTTTGCGGCAGAGTTGGTGATAGACGGTGCAATCGTCCTCAGCAGATGGAACAAACGTGGCACACCAGATAAACGCAGCAGTTGATAGCTGGCTTGAGGGTCGTCAAGCGTTGCTAGGCGGAGTATCAATTCCGCCGGGTCACCACGGGCGATTTTGGAAACGAAATTCCTCTGGAACTCCTCTGTTCCTACTGGGATCCCGACAACTGGCATGCCACCTTCAGCAACTGACAGACCAATTTTCGTCAATTGTTGCTGTTCGTCGTTTGTCAAAGAGGACATGCAAAGACCTTCCGGGAAAAGCACTTTGGATTTCGGGAGACTGAGCTCAATGCCTTTTTGGGAGAGACGTTCCTGAATCCAATTCGTTACAGTGGATATGGCCTGCATGTTCCTAGCCAAACCTGGTGGAAGATGTGCTTGGAGGTCGTCGACGTATCCGATGAGTTTGACTCCTGGCACTGGTGGCTTGTTGTTGAACTCTTTCATGATATCAAGAAGTCCTACACAGAAGCCAAACCCTCCCCAATTGCAGCCTTGTTGAACTCCGCGCTGTGAAAGAACAACAACCTCGATCGAACCATCTTCGTTGAACAGAAGTTTCGCCTTGGTTCGAGCGTAGATGTTCCCGAAGTACTTCACCAAGTGTGGCGTATGAGTGGCCACTGCTGGCAAGATGGAAGATCTGCGCATGCTGTTGTAAGCGTTTTTCCCATCAAAGGAGAGAATGGTGCTGCCTTGCTGGTGGCTGAGGGCTGCTGTGGAAGCCACTATTTCAACTCCTCCTGGAACACCACCTCCGAACTGATTTGCTGCTTCGAAGATGTTCGCAATTCCTCCCTTGTACTGGCGGCAGAAGCTGCCGCTGATGATGCGACGCAAAACCCCTCCAACTGCAATCGGCCGTTTTTTCTCTCCCAGCGCTGAAAGGTTGGCACTGGTGTGGAGGTTCCAAAAGAAATCCGGAAGCTCGTCTCCGTAGTAGAAGACTTTAAAGCTGAAGTCCGCCAAGGTTTCAGTAAAAAAATCACTCATCCCACCAGCTTGGAGATACGAAAAACGAAGACCATCAGGCCCCGGAGCACTCTGAGGGTTGGCTTTCTTTACCGTCTGCTTGATGAACTTGATTTCGAATGGTTCATCAGCTTCGGCGACGGAGAAAGAATGAGATACATATGTGACTACTTGGACTTTCCTCCTTCCGCTGCCGGCTATGCAGTACATTAGTTGGCCAAGTACAAACTGGTGTATTGTAGTTGTTTTCAACACGTACGTGCGTCCCTGACGACTGCTGTATGTAACAACATATTGGTGAATGAAGAAATTGAAAGCGAAGCATGAAATTGAGAGCGAAAGCCAAAAAATTTAGAATTCGGGTCCAGACGCCTCTTGCCATTTCTTGGGAAGTAGGGGGCGGGCGCTTCCAAGAAGCGGCGCAAATTGAAGGTCTCATCAGCAGCTTCGCGAGCATATGCGTGTCATCGTCATCGGATGCTGCAGCGAGGAGCTAGACAAGTTGCTAGACTTCCCCAGATTGGCTATTCCTGCCTCAAACTGTTGCAGGGCGGCTTGACCTCAAGCGGCGGGCTCTGCTGTAGCTTCTGCTCGCCGCTGTAACTCCACATCGAGAGACTCCCACATGACCGGGTATCTGCTTGTTGCTACGGGCTGGCCCTTCAATTCAAGCTACATAGCAAGCTCCACCTCTCAGCAGTAGTCCAGCTGCAGCGCATCGCGCAATCTCGCTCTCAATCAGATGCTTCGCTCTCAATTTCACCAATATGCTGCTATGTACATCTCATTTCAAGTATTGAAAAGACGTTCGACGTCAACAAACGGTTGCCAGTCGTCTCGGCGATTCCGTCTTTTCGTATGCATACCACCCCCTTTCTTACTTAGCAAAAGATGCGTCGTTTGAGGTATAGCATGCCTCCAACGGTTTTTTAATGTGAAGACAACAACAACAACAACAACAACAATTCGCCCCAGGGATCGTGAGCTATCGTCCCCTGAATTTTAAGGACGCAACCCAGCTTTAAGGACGCTTTTTTCAGGAAAAAGCATTTGAGTCCTTCAAGCGGGGTCGACTGTACTTGTCGATCGTTGAAGTGCGAAGAACGTGCGTTTGCTGTTGGTGGCGGGGTGGGTGGGCGCGGTGAACTGCCGCAAATGGTCCAACAGGACTTTTTGGTGTGCATCTCATGTGCAGTGACTCTTGAGAGCTTGGACTACTTTCCTGTTCTCTCAGTATTTTTCGAAAGTTTTGAACGCGTGGATCCCCGCGTTAGTCACTGACTGACGTATGCACGTTGGTTGGAAAATGCAATCTTGGGGGGCGAGGCACAGCTTATATACTCGTTTACCCATGTGTTCACTAACGTATACTACTGCGGTACTTTAGGTCCTCTCCGAATCCCTTTGCGGATGCGGTCAAGTACCAAGATGGTGATTTGTGGCTGTACCCTGATCAACAAGTAAAATCGAATGCGACAAACGGACGTGTTGCGAGGTTGCTTTCCACCATTTCGACAAACCAACACACACCGGGTCTCAGATCCTGTGGTGTTGATGGGGGGAGGGCGGCACAGGCATCCACGCTGCCATCAAAAATTGAGCCTTCTTGCCGTGAACAAAAAAAGTTTTTCCGCCTCTTCAGCTTCCATGTCGTTTGTTGGGCCAAACAAAAGCGATAGAAGAGAAGGTCAGCCCTACTGCCGCAACTTAATTTTCTTTCGTCGTCCAAACGAACGTTTTCCTTGTATTATTCACTCCATACTACTGGTATCGAGTAGGAATCGAGAGAAACCGGAGGCGTGTTGGTGCGAGGCGGAACGCCAACAGTCACGCATGCATCTATGAAGCATTGCAGCCGTGGTAACCTGTAATGACCCAGTATCAAGTCTTGTTGGTTGGCCTGCTCTTGACATGACTCAATGGACTCCATGGACTCAATGGACGACTGTAGCCTGACCACACAAAAACATACAAGCACCAAAGAGCAAGCCCCAGGTAGAGTCCGGGAGTAATCCGCAAGAATGAAGTCCCGAAGTGCTTGCATCCGTATTCTAGAACAACCTACATCAGCACCAAGAGGAAGATAAAAAAAGCACAGCCGAAAACACGTCCCATCGTAGATATGCTTATGTAAAAGTTGGAGAGGACGTCGAACGAATCCAAACGCACCGACATGGTGGGTAAGACAAGAACACACACAAACATGTCGCAACAAGGGGCTGTGCTGAAGAGTCCACCCCCACGTGGAGTCCTTGGCCGACGCCCTCTCAGCAACACCCGATGCGAAAACAACTAATTGAAACTCACACCACATGACAACAACAGCACGCAAATGGCTGCAACAAAAACAAGCAGCAATGCCATCATTCTACACATCGATCGACCGCACTGTCTCCGCGGATTCTCCGGCAACAACCGAGCTCTCCAGTGTGGCAGCACTATTTAGCCTGGGCGGGAGTTGATGGGCGATGGCACTGGCCTCCTCCAGTCTTCCTCCTCTTCTAGTCGCCGCGCCAGCGCCAAGATCGATCCGGTCTCGAGCAAGAAGCTGACCAGCTTCTCGTTCTCGATCAAGGCCTCCGACCCGGTTGACGCGCTCCGGAACAGGCTGCTCACGCTGCTGCTGCTATTGGCGCTGCTGCTGCTGCCACTACCGATCGGTGCTTCTTGCCGAGGGATCACGACACCGGCAGGCGACACACCGCCGCTGCTGCTCACGGTCCCTCCCTTGCTATTCACACTCGCCACCGTCGTCGTGACCCTGTTGCCCACCGTAGCCGACGCGGGCGAAAGAGCGTTCGCGGTCGGGACTCCTCGCGAAGACGGCCCGACCGACTTCGCCACCGCCGCGGCCGCCGCCGCCGCTGCGGCCGCCTGTGGCCGTGAGCCAATCACACCCGCTCGGTTGGAGGGACCCGGAGCCCTAGCGGCGGCCGGCAATCCCGCGAAAGGCGCGCCGAGAGAAGACCCCGGCGGGGGCGGCGGCGGCGAAGATGCAGCAGCGGACGGGGCAACCGAGAGAGGGTTGTGTCTCGCGTCCATGATACTCGGAGACGCACCCCACACGGACGCCGGGCCTGGCCCCTGCCGTTGCGGGGCGAACTGCAAACCGTTCGCAACGGGGTGGCGGAGGACTCCTTTCGCGGCGGTTGTTGAGCTCGGCGTACCTACGGGTCCGGAGGACACCGCCGGGGGCACCGCGGGCTTGACGACACCAGCACCCCCCCAAGCACCCCCGGGGCCCCCGCCACCGGGAGGAACTACTTGCACGAGTGAGGGAGACGGGGCGGAAACACGCGGTGCTGTACCGGTGGCGGAGACGGCGGCAGGCGGTGGTGATGCCACCGCGCTCGACCGAACGGGCGTAGCCGCGGACACGGCGACATTCGCGGGGCTTGATTCGCTCGCCCATACGACAGAAGAGGTCCCGCCGCCGCCGCCGCCGCCGCCGCCCGATCCAACCGGTGGTGCAGGTGGCGCCGCCGCCCTCTGCTGCTGATGCCCCTTGTTCCACTTTGTGCCTCCAGCTCGCTTCCCGCCGGTGCCGCCGACTACAACCCACGGCTCCTCGTCATCGTCCTCGAGGGCTCTGCTAGCCGTCGCTGTCGACGAGCCTTTCCACCTGTTGGCGACAGCTACCGCTGTCCCGGGAGCAGCAGATGACGACGATGACGACGACGACGACGACGACGACGACGACGACGACGACAAGGCCGAGAACAAAGTTTTGCCGTTTTCCCTCCCTGCCGCCGCCGGCTGCTGAGGGTCTCTCCTGCCCTGCTTCTTCCCCGGGCGCCGTTGCCCCCGCTCTACTTCTTCCTCCTCCGGCGACGGTGCCGTGGGTGCCACCGCCGCCACCGCCGCCTGAGCGCGGCCCAAGGGCGGCTTCTTCGGCGGGGATGTTGTTGTTGTGGTTGCTGTTGCTGTTGCTGTCGTTCTCCGGCCTGCGCCGCTCTTCTTTACGGCGGCTGCAGCGGCGGCGGAGTTAACCGCGGCCGCGGTGGCGTTGATGATGGCAGCGGCCGTCGAGGTCGCCGGCGATGTGCAGTTGTCGTGGTACTTGGAGTCGCGGGGGGACGACGGGCTGTACTCGTCCTCGCTGTTGCTCTCTGTCGAGGCACTGCTGCTAGCCTTGTTGGGAGAGGATGACCGGTCATGCCCCTGGCCGTTACAGGACACACGACACACGCGAACGTGTTAGCATGGTGCGAGATGCGGAGGGGGCGAGTAGAGGGAAATCAAAACTGTGGCGCAGGGGGGGCGTGAGCGGGGGAAATCAACGGTGCGGTTGTTGATCGATTCGAAAAGGGGCTTCTTCTTGAGGCGCTCCGCTGTCGTTCAGCGGCTCAAGGCAACATGGGCAAGGCAACAAGCCACCACTTTTTAACGCAAGGCCGCCTTCACAACTCAAGTGTTGTTTGAGACACTACGCAAACGAGAGTGGCACAAACAGGAATCCCTCCACCATTCCATGGGCAGGCACCATCTACACGCAGCAGCAGCTGGTGCTTGTCGCGGAGCCCCTGATTGGAAAAATCAATTCAGAGACAAAGGAAAAGCTCCGCACCAAAGACCGTAGGCTGATTCTTCAAAAATACTGGGTCAAACCCATATCCCGGAGCTCATTAGAATGGTTGTACACGGCCATGAGAAACAACCGTTAGCCACTTGTGTTTACAATACAGCCAGATACATATGTATCCAAGTGAGGTGCGTTCCACCAGGCGATCGATGCTACGCTTTTGGCAGACGACCTGTCGGCGAAGACTAGTGCTCGAATTACTCCAAATTGGCGAAACAGCTTGGCGTACCTCGCGATGGCAACGGCCACTGATGGCTCCACAAGTTTCCAAACAACAACACCGCCACAGCGTCTAGCCTAACCTCCCCTAGCACGAGAGGTACACGACGTACACGCACACACATAGTGGCGCAGAGTCTTCTCGTTATTTTCCAGACGCAGGGCACTATTTACTGTCGTCCGACTCCGGCCCCACCACGCTCCCTCTGATGGTAGAACACTTTGGCTAGATTACGTGTTCGCGTTTTTATTTTTCGTCTTAAAATACAGTATTTTCACTGGTCAGCCGGCTAGCGCGGTCGATGCCAACCAAGAAAACACGCACACACAAACACACGGCGGATCTGCGGACAAAACAAGCATGTTCACGTCCGTCCGACCGTCCGTCGCCCGCGAAAGACTGCCGTAATTTCATCCTCCAGACAGATGCATAGCGGGGTGGCCGATTGCTTCAACACACCGACCTTCGTTCCTAGGCCAGGTGATCGCTGGCCGGGCATCGCCTTCTCGCCATCGCCAGCTTTATCCTTGTCCTTCCCTCCCGACTCGCCGGCCCACTTGACGCCGCCCGGCGGAACAGCAGCAGGTTTGTCCCCGGCGGCCCCCCTCCCTCCGCCTCCGCCGGCGGCGGCCGCCTTCGTCTCCTTCAACGGAGGCTCTATGGCCAATTCCTTCGCCGCATTCTTCTTCTTTTCTCGCTTCTTAGCCTGCTCGTGAACAGGGGCATTGTGGGGGGGGGGGCTCGTGTTTTGATTGCCTTAATTGTTAGACCATTGACCACCGGGGGGTGGGGGGGCGTGCTCTTATGTTTTGCATGCCTTAGCTATTAGACCATTGGCCACGCGTCCTCGAGAGGACGTAGCATTGTTCCCACAGGACCGATCACCGATGGCCAATCGTTCCTTTCTACCGGGGGGGCGGGGGGACCNAAGGGTGTGCTGCATCCTGTTAAGGGTGTTCGGCATCTTGTGCTTACTTCCTTGCGTACGGATGACAGCTGCGTATGAATTAGTTTGATTTCTGGTGCTTTCACTTCCAGAGACAGTTGTAAGCACTGTGTAACTATCTCGAGGATGCTTGACCATTCCATTTTATCACAACGTGGTGCGATCATTCCCGTTGCGCGGAGTGAGGTTTCTCCACCCCGCACAACATGATCTACTCGACCACCATTATGGTTACCGCCAAAAAACAAAAAGGTAAAAAAAAAAAACGTAAACCTGGTTGCCGAGTGCACGAAGTGAATCGGCTTGTTTTACAACGTCGTTGCCAAGAGACGAAAACCCAATCCCGATGGCAAACACCGAAGGGGGGGCTTGTTTTACACCGTCGTTGCCAAGGGACGAAAACCCAAACCCGATGG